TGTTTTTCTACGTTTTTTATACGTTTAAAAAACGTATTATTTCCGTATACTTTCCTTATACTGATTATTTATAGGGATGTATACATACAGTATATACAAGAAGCTATAAAAATGACAAAGAGAGCTAAACTATAATTATATATTAAGCTAACTAAAAACTGAATTTTTTGGTTAGTATAATTCTGAAAATTCTAATAAAAAATCTCATTAACTTTCACAAAAATTATAAGTAAGTAACACAAGCTTTTATGCATTCTTTTCTATATGCTTAAAACTTTGTAATCTATTATTTTTTATTAATAGTAATTTTTAAAATATTAAAATATAATAAAAATATTTAAAGATATTTTTTTAATATAAGAAATTTTAATATATTATATTAAATTATATAATATAATAAAAAATTTTAATTTAAAAATTTATATATGTTATAAAGTTTCTAGTAAAAAGAATGGTAGTAGAAATATCAAATCTATTTTTTTGGTTACAATATATCCAATTTTTTAATTTAAAACTATTATTTAAATGATCAATTGGATATTTGAATTTTATTTAAAGGTAATTAAAACAAAAGGATTTGTTTTTTTGTTTTAATTAAAAAAATGTTAAGCTTAAATAAATTATTTTCAAAATCTTAAACCTTTTATCAAATTATTGTGATTGATTAAATCATAAATAAATGTTTTATCATAACTAAATCTTTTATAATAACTAAATAATTTCGCCATAATTAACTATTTTTATCATAACTTTATAGGTTAGCATAGCTAATTAGTTACAATATAACTAAATTTTTATCATGACTAAATAATTTTGATATAATTAAATAATTTTATCATAAATAAATTGTTTTAGAATAATCAAAATAATTTTAATATGATTAAATATGATTTTCATAATTGTTTTTAAATTTAATTTGAATTGCAATCTAATTATAACATTAATGAATTTAATTGTAACATAAGTTGTAATACAATTATGACATTTTTCAGTAATTGCAACGCCATCTTTATATCTTAATTATTAGAGTTACTTTTATTATATAAAATAATAATGAAAAGTCAAACTTGAATTATCAGAAAAACCTTTATTAAAAAATTGCTTATAAAGTTTCATTTAAACTATTAGAGACAATAATTTTATTAGATTTAATAATCCAAATTTTTCAGAATAATCCAAAAGTTTTAGTTTAAATTGATTATTTAGATTAGATCAGATTAATATTTAATTGAGGTTTATTTATAATTAACTTTAAAAAAAAATTTATTATGTATTATAATATTAAAATATTATATAATAATACATTTATATAAAAATTCTTATATTAGTGGAATTGAAAAATAATTATATTGTGAAGGTATATTTAATATTAATTTCCAATTTAGAATAAAATTAAATAGTGTATTTATAAAAAGGTATGCATTTATTTAGAATGTATTTATAAAAAATATATATTTATTTAAAATGTATTTATAGAAAATTAACTGTAATATTTGTATTAAATCAATATTATATATATTATTTAATATCATATTAATATCCTTTTGATATTAATATTGATATTATATTGATATAAATATGTTATATTACTTCATAACTTTACTATATAAATATTATATCTATATCATTTTAATATTATATTGATACTATTTGAATATTAATATCAATATCATATCAATATTATATATGTATTGAATTGATATAGTAAAAATAAATTTAATAATCTCAATTCGATTATTATTAAAATATAATAAAATTATTATAATGATATAGATTCTTAATATTGTTAGAATTTTTTGAGTTTTTATAAAGTTTAGTATTACTTAAAGATGGTTTCTATAATTATTTTCAAATTTCATTGAGTTTCAACTTAATTACATCATAAGGAAATTTAATTATGCCACAAGTTGCAACTCAATTGTGCCATTTTTTTTAATTATAGTGTTCATCTTTAGTATTACTATTAAAAATAACATTAAAATTACCAATAAATGTTGCAATTTTTATATTAGATCTTTATTATATTAATATTAAAAGAATAATCAATAAAATTAAGATAATTGCTTAATAGTATAATTAAAGTCTGGTAAAATTAGAATTAAAATTCAAAAAAAAAATATATATTTAACCTAATATTAAATAAATTATTATATAATTATATAATAATTTTATATTTAAAATAAATAAATAAGTTATTTAATAATATAAATTATATATAATTAATATATTTAAATATTTTAATATTTATGAAAATTTTGTTTATTTATATGAATATTTTTTTATATTTTTATAATCATCATTTTACAGAAGATGGTCAAAAGTATTTAAACGTTATATTTGACATTGAATATTTCAAATCACATCGATTAGAATTAGACCAAAATTTGATATATCTTAAATACAATCTCAAAGTATAACATATTCAAATTTTAGATAATTTGAATCATTAGATATTGAGATATTAATGTAAATGTTAAATTAAAAATAACTTTAAATATAAATTTTAGTTAAAATTTTAAAATGATGTTAAATTGATTTTTATAATATCTAATGATTCAAATTAAATAAAATTTTAATAAATAATAAATGAATATTATATTTATAATGTTTCAAAATTTGAGTTAATTTAAATTACTAGTTATTGATATTTTTAACATATAGGATGTTTGCTAGGAAAATGGGACTCTGAGCATTTTTTATTAAAATTTTAATAAAAAATGCTCAGAGCCCCATTTTTAATATAAAAGAATATTAAAAAAGCAAAAAATGTTAAAGTTTTAAAATATTTATCTTTATATTAATTGTCTTGACAGCCAGTAATTCAAATTAGCTCAAATTTTGAAACATTATAATCTAAAATTTGAATATGTTATACTTTGAGATTATATTTACGATATCAAATTTTGGTCTAATTCAAATCGGTGAGTTTTGAGATATCCGATGTCAAATATAGCGTTCGGATACTTTTAGCCATTAAGATGATTAAAATTAAAAATTAAAATTTTAAATTATTTAGATTTTATATATAAAAAAAATTAAAAAATGTATAGTATTTATTTTTCATATAAAAACATTGTATTTTAAAACGAATTATTTAAATACAAATATATAATGTAATATTGAAAATTAATATCCTTTTGACTATATTTATATGTAATGAATGATCGATTTTATATGTAAAACAATTTACATAACACCAAAATTTTAGTTAATAAAGTTTTCAGGTATTTGTTATTTAGAACAGCTTAGCAAATATTACAACATTAATGATGTACTAATAAATCAACGAAAAAAAAGAGATGTTTGTTTTATCCTTTTATTTGAAATTTTTATAAGAACTTCTTTCAAATTCCCTAAGTTTATATTTTCGTTTTTTACTCACTTTCATTCTAGGCTCTACAATATTGCGTTCTTCCAAACTAACCATTCTGTCTCGGAATAGATTTCCTTCTGGCTGTGTAAAGACATTTTGTTATATAAGTTTTAAATCTAATTCATTGCTTTTATTTTATTTAATAAAATTATAGTATACCTTTAATGTTCTTAACGACCCTGACAATTCTTCCTGAAGTTGTATACTAATTGGCAGTTTTTTGACTCTAAAAGAGAGAGATATATATTATTTAAAAAATTATATATATTGAATGCAATTTATTATGGAGATTGTTACATACGGATATTTTCCGATCTTTTTCAAAGGCAATTTTGCTTTTTCCTCAACTGCCTTCACCTTTTCAATATGCTGTTTCTCTCGTTCCGAATGTTCGCGTTCAACGCTTAGAACTATTTCTGAAAGCCTAAAATGTGCGTTATATCAAAATTAATTTTGTAATAAACGTCTTTTGAGTAAAAAATTTTTAAACTAACTTTTCTAATTCTTTTCTCATTTCCTTTTTAGCTTTTTTCTCTTGCTCTTCTTTTAATTTAGCAAAATTTCTCTTCTTTTTATTTCGTTCTGTCTTTGTTTTTTTGCGTTTATCTTTAACTTGCTTTATGGTCTCTTCAACATTTTTTTCACAATCCTCAACTTCATCCTCTGAAGAGTTCTCATCATTTTTTTCATTATCTATCAATGATAAAGCTTCAGATAATAAAGGGAATTGGGATTGTAGCTTTTGTTTTTGATATAATTTGGCCACCTCTTCTTCATGAGCAATTTTAAGAAGTGCCTTAAATGATAAATTAAGAAACAATATTAATTGATCATTTTTGTTCATTCACATAAAGGTTAGAAAAATATTAAACCTGATGATCCTCAAATGTTGGATTATAACTAGCACCTGGGTGTGGAACGTGTACAACTGGAATAGTGTCAGGTGGTTTGATATTTATGGTTGGAGGTGGCTTTTAAACGAATTATTATTAGTTTGATAATTGTATTAACGATTTAAATTCGTTATCAACCCACCTTGACTTTCCGTTTCTTTGCCGGATGTAAGTAATTATCGTCTTCATCTTGAGAGATAACAATCAAAATTAAAAAAATAGTTGAAATGTTTATTTTAATATTTTATCAATTCCTTACTTTCATCATCCCATACATCATATTCTACAGTCCTCAATACGGCCTCGGTGGGTGTAGAATCTTGAACTTGATTGATTTGTTTCGTCATTTTTTCTAATCTAATTTTAGGATGCTCGTCATTTTTATTTTGTTTTTTAGTTTTTGAAATGATTGCGGGAACTTTGCTTCTATCCTCCAATATTTGTTCAATTTTTAGTTTAGCAAATCTTTTACTGATCTTTTTCTTAACTATTTATTGTAAAAATTGACATGATATCAATAATTTTGTCAATAGAATTATAATTAAATAATTGTTATCTTTTATACTAACTATTACTGTCACCCGTCGTATCAATCGTGAAGATCTTTTCGTCTGGTAAATCACAAATTCTCCCTCTTTCAGAAAAAAAAATTACTAATAGGTATACCCAATATTTTATTTATTTTTATTATTTTTTTTATTAATACAAACCCAAATGTTCTTTCTTCAGCCCTTATTCCCTCTAAGGTTTTTTCTAAGTCTGCAATATTAACATTCTTTCTCCAAGCTTTCTTTCCCTTACGACTTGGTTGTGATTTTCTTCTTGCTGGTTTGATAGAAATTATTGAAGTCATTCTTAGAACGAATTATTTTATTTTCAAAAAAAAAAAAAATTTGACGATCCCATTTATTTTTAAGTTCGGATAAAATTTTTGAGTTATATCACGTGATAAATAATTTTATTTTGTTTCGCGTCTATTAATTAAAAAAATTTTAATAAAAAAATTTTTTTTTTCTGACCAGTCTAGAAAATGGTAATTTTTTAAAGATTTTGAAGACTAAATAAATTTTACACGTGAAAAAGTTAAAAGAGGCAAGTGTGAGGTTGAAGAAAGAAAAAATCAATAGAAGTTAGAGGAGTTGGAGGATAAGCTGGTTGGGATGATTAGAACAAAAGGATTGGTGGATAAATAAGGTAAACGAGTTGAGGAAGGAAAAAGAGTATTTGTTGAGGAATTGGATAAACATTTGAGAATCTTGCAGTTAAATGTATATAAAATCTTTTTCGCCCATTCCCTTTCGTTTATATTTGCCATTGGTATATTTTTAATGACATGACTAACCCCTGCTTTGTTTTTTTTCTTTACTCGCAGGTAAAGTGTAAAATCAACTAATTTCTTGATTAAATAGACATATCCTGATTACTTTTTGGCAATGAATGCTTTCTTGTTTGTTTTTGCTTTCTCTTGTTTATTTTGACATAATATTTGTCATTATCAAATTTCAACCTTTCTCTTTAATTTAATTATTTATAGTACGATCTGTTGTGAATAATAAATGAGCAGATTTAGGGGATCTATTCATTTTTCTAATCAGATTTACTTAAGACTCAATCGGATATTATTAAAGATGCAAACAACGTAAATGCTCCATCAAAAGCTGCAAAATTAGAAAACTTTGAACAAGATCAACAAACCGTACAAATTTATTATCACCGGCCCCCAAATAATTTTGGTCGACCATTTAGTTTAACAAGGCATTTATTAAAGCTGATTATAACGAAAACCTCCTATTATCAAAAAAAATCGATGGAAAGGTTCTTGATAAAGAACATGATAATAAATGGCTTGAAAAGTTGGAAAATATATAAATAATATAACCATAATAGTATAATATAAATCTATTAAATTACATTTTAAATCAAAGTTAAACACCTTGATTATAATAAAATAATAATAATTTTTTATTTTTATTTTAATCAATGATTTATAATTAAAAATTTAAAACATTACTAAAAAAAATTTATAAATACAGATTATTGCTATAGTGAGCTTAATAAAAACTTATTTATATAATCAACCAGTAAGTTGTTATATTTGTCAAAAACAAAGGTTGGAACAATATTTGCAAATAAATATAACTTTGTTATTTTGGAAACTGAACCGTGTACCTGTATGTGTATTACATAATATAACATTAAGCGAAAGCCTATCAATCATTCATGGATTTATGCTTTCTATTAAATTTTAGAATAAATGTTCAAGTATGAAGCCTATTAATATACAGATAAATTTAAATACATAACCTAGGGTGTTCAAAAATACAACAAATTATATCTCTCATATATCTTGAGAGGCAAAACAAATCGCTTGATGATGTCGTTTCATTACTAAATTGAAGTTTCACCAAGGATAACCTACAAATACATTAAAACGAGCCAACATATTGTTTATTTATTTTTTAAAAAAAGTATTAAAATTTGTTAATTTAATTACCTAAAACTTCCCAATTTGGAACATATCTTTTGTCAACAAGTTTCCATACTTGAGATACATCAAATAATTCAATAAACTGCTGATCCATTGAACGCGACTTTGGGTGCGAAAAACGTCGATATTCATCAAAGATTGAAGTATGTGTCCATCTCTGAAGCTTGCGAAGACATCCAATCAGACATCCCGTCCGATGCTTTTTGAAGTAAAAATAAATAAAAATTCTTTCTAGTTGAGAATGATAGAAGCAAAATAAAAATATTAATGTAATTTACCTTGCCCTTATTACAGTGAATCAAGATAGGATGATTACGTCGATCTGGGAAGGAAATGTCAGAAGTATGTTAGAATGAAAAAAAAAATAATAATAATTTCTAACATTACCTAAAATTACGGCCAAGGCGGCGCATATTTTGTCTTCGGGTACTGATAAAAATATCACACAAAAAATTTATTTATAATTTCGTCCTGTAACAAATAAAATGTAGTTTAAAGAAATCATCAATGCGTACTTTGAACAAAAGGTTCCTATTAATAAGAACAAGAAAGGGTTAAATTGTTTTTATGCGTATATCAAATGGATTGATGAATCATTCATGTTACCTTGTTACCAGCGATTCCAAATTGAAAAAATTTTATGTCATTCGCTTCCAAGAATTTCATATTTTGTGCAGGATATTCTTCGAGGATCAACGTTCTTTATTAGGGGGACACAAAAATAACGATTCAATTGAATCGATAATTCAATTGCAGTAATACGCAAAAAAATTAAAATATCGAAGATTCCAGTTGAGAATTCTTTATTCATACAGAATACTTTTCAGCCCAAGTTTCTTCAAGAAAGCATAGTTCTTTTTTTTGGGAAAGCTACTTCTATAAACCCAAGTTGATACCATGGTAAAGTTATCAGGAGGTATTAGTTCTTCATATTGTTGGTGTTCCTCACCTGACGAAGAAGCTGTTGACCAAGAATGAGTACGTTGAGACGCTAAAGTTGAAGAAATGAAAGGCTTTGAAGACACTGTAGAAATTGAAGGTTGATTCTCTTGTTGCGTAATGAAATCCTCCTCTTTTGTAGACATTTTGGTAAGAGCGGGAATTTTTTTTTCAGAACCGGAAAATTTTTTTATCTAACCTGATTAATCGACATAGTAACACCAACACCACCATATTAATCCGTAGTCAATATTTATTAAACATCAGTAAATTTAAGTTCGACCAATTCTCTTTCCTTGAACTTTGAGAACTTTTTTTTTTTTTTTTTTTTTTTGAACCACATGGAAAAGATTTTATTTGAGTGTAGTTTACATGGTCATATTAGTAATAATTTAAAAGAGAAATTATTGGACAGATTAATAGGGATATGCGGGACTCATCCTATACCAATTTTTGAACATGAAATTGGCTTTGTACCAACAAGTTAAATATAACTTGAATTAAAAGCTTTTAAACCATAAATATTTAAACTCACGATTATTTAAAACAAACTTATAGTACAAAGTCCGGAAGGACCTGAACGAAACGAAGATGTATTATTAAGATTAAAATCACCAATTGAAGAAAATGATTTAACTAAACGACAATGGTATATATCACATTGACCCATGCTATTCCGCCGATATTTTATTCACCTTTTATCCGTTACCGTCTTGAATCGCCAGGATATTATGTCAACTCGGACTTCCAGAAACAAGAACGGGTAGAACCGTAACAGTCCGACCGGTCTTATATTCCAAGATTTCCACCGGGGATGCACTTAAATTTATGAATGTGCTCGGATATAGGTTGGTTAATGTTTCAACTCCTTTCAACTTCAAAGAAATTATTAAATATCAAGTACGTTCCGGTTAGCTACGCATTCGAATTTGCTAAAAAGGGAATCGTATTTACGTTTCGTGATGCGCTAAAGATAAGCATCACACAAGTCTTCAAGGCATGTAACCTTTTCCATATTCCTTTCTTGTTCCTATTAACTTTGATTAATCACAAGATTTTATAGTTAGATGTTCAACTTGAAGTGACCAAATTAACACCGTATGATCCAAAAGAAAATTGGATGGTAGAAGTAACTACTATCCCGGTGCCACAAGATCAGGTTGATGCATATTGTTCAGAGTTAAGATTATTTGATGATTCTTTGAAAGGGATCTTGAATTTGTTTCATGTTGATCATTTGGTTTTACAAAATAAAATTCACTATTCCTAAGTTTTAAATGAGATGTGATGTAGTCTCGGTCCAATAGGACCAAGAATATGTTTTGTGATACATTTCATGGTAATTGTGTGTTTTATTGGTTCAACCTTGCATCAAATATACGCACATGATAAGAATTTATGAACCTGTTTTGGTGATATTTATTTTTAGATTTGGAATGTAAATTCACATGGTGCCATTTGCTGTCTATTTTCGGTGGTATAAACATGATTGATAAAATATAATTTGTTTGGTTTTATGCTTGTATAAGCATGCATTACAAGACAACATCTATAATCAATTCTTCAGGCGGAAGCTCATCTAGTCAATTCCCGCCTTCAACTATCGATTTGTAATAGCCGTATTGTGGTTTAAATTATATTTTTTATTTTATGCTTCGAAAGTCATTTTTGATGAATTTATTCGTCATGTATTGAGAAAGAAGAAATAAAAAAGGTGGAGACATCCGTAAAAATTTGATAACCCTGCAGCACGTAAATCGCACATGATTGTCTCCTTAGTTTAGTATATACAAAAAGGCATCTCGTTTTAAAATTAAAAAATAATACTTTTAAGGGTTTGAATTTGCACAGCAAAGAAATAGAAAATTAATTTTACAATTCTATGAAAAAAAAATAAAAAGGAAAAGAATTTAAATTGTTCATTGTGATTACTAAATTAGGGAAATAATAATTTTTTGTCTATCGTCATAAATTACCAATCAAATTTTCTCCCTCCACAACTCGGTGCAAAACTACCATTCATTGAACCTCGATACAAATCTTTGATTACTTTTCCTTCAATTATAGTATGTTCTATTATACTTTTGGCGTGACATGGTATAACTCTTCCATACCAAATTCCTTGTCCTTCTTTATAAACAATAACGTTTCCCGCAAATCGATGTCCTAAACAAAAACAATACAAAATAAATTAGCTTTTCGGATCGATTAAAATAAGATTCAACAAAAAATCCTTTTTGTAGATCATTACATACCTCCGGTATGACTGCTTAAAAAGACACCAACACCATCGTTGTAACGCGTTTCGGGGTCTAATCCTTTTTCTTTTAAAACTTTATCAAATTCATCCTTTAATAAAGGACCGGTGACACCACATCTTTTATCCCTTTTTCGATGAGAACAAATTACAATTACCGCTCTATAAGGCACCTTTTCGATTGGAAAATTATTATCAAGATATACATCGTCTTTTGATAAGAATGCATTATAAAAATCCGCAGCTAGTTTAGTTGTAACATTTTTGATCAGTATGTTGTCAGGGAATAATAATACATCATTGCCTTTAGAACATAATGAGTCATTTTCCGTATTTTGTCTTGAAGAATTCGTTATTATTAATCTCGTATGATCCGTATTTTCATGTTCTTCCATCTGTGATTGTAACCCATTTATACTTTTCTTCTCTTTTAATTTGACATTATTTACGACCTTATGAAGACTAGAAGCTAAACTACCACATTCATCTTCAATATTTGTTTCCCAATCACCTTTTCCTGTTGATATTAAAACATGTTTGATATATGGTTTAACCGTGTTTTCTAAAGGTGATTCGTAATCAATTTTTAAATATGATGGATAACTAGCGTGAGAAGCACAAGGATCCAAACAATTTAAACATGGGTCCTCTTCGTCTTTTTGACTTTCCAATCGTTGTAATTCATCAAAAGTTATTAATTCATGTTGTGAAGGGACTGTTTGTAAAAGTGCCGCCGTCTTCGCGTCAGGAAATTCACTAACCGGGGGAGCATTCGATGTATCCGTTATAGGAGACGACAATTTATGAATATCTTCATTTGGTGAAGTGGTGGGTGGAACCGAACGAGGTGATGGTATTACCAAACTAATCACATTGAGTATTTTTGAACCGATACGACGAATTGGCTTTTCCATTTTCTTTAATATTATTAAGATTACTATTATAATATATATTGTAAATATTGGTGTAAATAGTCGCGTAGGTATTAGTTGTTTATTTAAAGATGTTACCAAGTGATGTAATTCTTTCATAGCAGATATTGACTTGATTAATATAGAAAAAAAGGATGTCAAGAAAAAAGGACGCAAAAAATTTATTATTATTATTATTATTTTTTTTTTTTTTTTGGAAAAAAAAAAAAGGACACTATATATATATAGAATATTTTTTTTTATTGGATTTACTTTAAAATTTTATCAGATCCTTTATTCATTTCTGGGGTTCCGATCTTCAGCATGCACTATTTATTTTTACAAACCATACTAAAATAATATACAAAATACTTTGTTCAATAACAATTTATCAGATCCGATATATTTATTCCGAATAATTCCTATAATATTTCAAAGCCTCCTTTCCTATTCGAGCTTATCAGATTCAAACAATATCTATTTTTTCTTCCGATTGCAGAACCAGCTATCTTTTCTTAGATTACTTTATCTCTGCTTTCTTGATAGAAATCTCGATGCCATGGATGGCATATTGTTACATATACATTTATTAATTCCTTCTTTTTGTTTACAATTTACGATTCTAGTTCCGCCGAAAATGAAAGCCACAAAAATGAATTATTCTAGTTTGTCAACTTGTTTAGTAAAAATTTCCATGATACGTCAATTGTAGAAGTTCATGAGTCATTTCATGTCTTTCATCACATTCACATGAGATCACGTGCATTCGTATTTCTTTAAAAAAAAACGCAAAAGAATTTTTAATGACACAAACACAAACTAGTGGTGGCCTGATATTAAAGGTGTGGCCTGACTTAACTCGTCAGACACGTGAAACCAAATTTGATTCGATACTATTTGTATAATAGTGCTGATCATAGTTTTCCTCACAAATATATCATTGTTATTCACTAATTTACATCTTTATTTTTTCATTGTAAAGATATCCAGGTAATAAAACATCGCTTTCGGCGCATCACGTAAATACTCTTTATATTTTGTCATATTATCGGTGATGATCGAAATTTTTGCAGATTTCGAAAATTAAAATAAGATGTGCTAAAAAATATTATTGACATCTGCTCAATGCACTTTTGTTTATCATGATACTTTTAATAAATAAAATTAATATTTCTCTATTTTGATTATTATTCTTAAAAATAAGCATTATCAAATTGGAAAGTAAATAAAAAAAAATATATATAAATCGTAATCGCAATGATCGTCATTAATGATCGGCGGGATAAGCAATATAATAAATTTATTCCAAAATTTAAATCCTGAATTTTTTTTAATAATAAATTTCGATTATAAATGATACTACATAATTCCTTGACTCCTAGCTATTTTCTTACTGTAAATAAAACAAATACAGTTTTACTATAAAAATTTTTAATAAATAAGTGCCGAAGTTATTTTTTTTGCTGTATAATATGGTTACATTTTTTAATTCAAAAGTAATTTCTTTGATGCTATTATTTCCCATTTGCATTATGGAATTGAAATTTCCAAATGGTGAATTACACACGAAAAAAAACTTAAAATGTGTATTTATTAATATCTTATATATATTGGATGGCAAACAGTTTTAAAAATAAATAACAAATACTTTTACACTCAAGTTTTAGAAAGTAATGAAAAAATAAGAGAATCAACCTAATATAGATATCAAGTTAAAAAAAAATTCAAAAAATCAGAATCAAAACCAAATCAATAAGATATATTAAATTAGTTTAAATTATAAACTATACTTTCTTTAAAAACTGCTTTTATATGCTTTTATTTAAGTATTTGTATATTGTAATATTTCATACTTAATTATAGAAAATCTATATTTTCTTAAATTTCTATGTGAAATAAAATCAGAATAAATATCTTATATAAATAAATTGCTTAGTAATAGATATTTAAATTAAAAAATAGCAAGAATTAATAAGAATGTTGATAAAATATTAAAAAATCAAAAAATTTAACTTTTAGTAATTTTTTTTTATTAAATTTAAAGTTACATGTATATATTTTTAAATATATTTCTAATTTTTATTTTATTAATAACATTTGATAAATGAATTAATCCTACTGGTTCTTCTATATATAATTATATTATATTAATATCATATTATAAGCAATATTTATATTCTCTTCAAAATTATTCAAATAATCATTATATTGGATAACTTTTAGTTGATATGATTACTGCTGTAAATAAAAATTAGAGTTAATAAAGTAGCAGTAGTAGTCACTGATTATACATCAAATATAGTTAAAGCATGAAATATTATTGAAAACTAATTTTCAAATATTATTAATTAACATTATATTGCATATTTTGTAAATTTGATATATTTTAAATAATATAGAAGGCAGTCAGTAGAAAAGGGAGAAATCCAAAATTTTTGTTAATTTTTATTATTAAGCCAAATTTGTACACATAATCGAGATTAGTCAAGTGGTCTAATAATATAAATTTTGATCAAAATTTAGATTTTTCCTTTTTCTACTGACCGCCTCCCATATTATAAATTTTCTTTTAACTTTTATTTATTATATTTAATATTTTAGAAAATGATTTTGCTAAATAATCTATTAAAGCTTATAATAAAGTTATAACATATGGGAGGTTTGCTAGGAAAATGGGGCTCTGAGACTAAAAAATTTTTTTGAATAAATTAAAAAATCAAAAT